ATAAATTATTATTTTGTCATATCTTACAGTCTGACGTCTCCCTTCACCCACTTTTCTGTTGTCCATCCCCCAGAAAGGAGGTTATATGTTGTATTAGTCTATATTAACCCAGTTCTCAGAGAAGACAATCATATTTTTCAACACGAAGAGTCTTCATTCCAGTTGGAACCTTGTGAAGTCTGCATCCATAAGCAAAGTCAAATCTGGACAGGCCATCCATAAAGTCAGCAACAATATGTACCAGTTCACAGTCTCAAAAATCTCCAGCTGGTCGGGTTCTGGTCAACTCAATGTGGGCTGCCTCACTCAGCCTCCACATATGTAGATCCCTGTTATCAGTTCCCCTTCTCTATCCCACCCTACCTCAACCCTCCCAGTATCGCCACTCTCACCACTGGTCCTGAAGGGATCATCCGTCTGGATTCCCTGTGTTTCCAGTTCCTATCTGTACCAGTGTACATCCTCTGGTCTAGTGAGATTTGTAAGGTAGAATTGCGATCATGATAGTAGGTGGGGAGGACTACTAGAGGACTACTAAGAACTAGAAGAAAGTTGTATGTTTCATCGTTGCTACACTGCACCCTGACTGACTCGTCTCCTCCCTGCAACCCTTCCACAAGGGGATGTCCAGTTGCCTACAGATGGATGGAAATTTTTTTCAATAGTGGATCAACAAGTTTTTCTTCCTAGTATGTGGACAGGTGATATTGCTGATACTGAATGCCAGTGGTAAAGCTCTCAGCATCTCAGCAACACACAAGATACCACAGTACCAAACGGTAACAGTTAAGTGCCAGCAGGGTAGATAAGGATTTATAAATATCTAATATGAGAAGCATACTTACTAGTTTGTATTTCTTTGTAGATATACCGGTATTTGAAGCCTATTTTCTTTTCTCTTTTTTTGAAGCCTATTTTCTTAAGTAATTATTGGATTATTTCTTTCTCTCATAGAAAACAGGACCTACTATTATCAAGGTAGCTTTAAGGTGGTGGATATCCCATATAATAGTAATTATGAAAAGGAGACATCAGAAGAAACTAACCAACTTAGCAAAATTCTTGAGACCAAGGTAAGTTAGCATTATAGAAATATGGAAATATTTGTTTTATTGTCAATTCTCTGGAATATACATATGTTACTGGAATTCTATGTTTGACTCTATTTTCTTATAACAGATGGTGGATGCATTTGACAGTTCTAGCATTTACAGACAATATATCAATTCTCAAGTCATCACCTTGGTGTAAGTAACTCACATTGACCTTCAGAAAAGTGATCAACCCTCCATCCCAAACCCATGGGAGCAAGTCAATGCGCACAACAGAATGAATCACTGCCCAGTCCTGTGCCCGGCTCACAATTGTTTCCTGTGCTTGAGCCCATTGCTGCAGCCAGAGCATCAGTCCATCTCCTGGAGGGTCTTTGTCGTTTATCCAGCTCTTTGAGGCTCTTCATGTTTTTCATATGTCCCCTGCTTTACCAAATGTGATGTCCATCTCCAGGAACAGGTCTTTCCTGATAGAGCTTACAAGTTTTGAACCTTTATGGGAGCAAATAGACTTTTCTTTTCCCCAACAAATGATTGATGGGCTTGAACCACCAGCTCGGCAGTTAACAGTCCAATACTTACTTAACAGCTCCACATATACTATTGTATTATAACTCAAATTCCACCATGAAAAGATTGTATTCATATATTATAGCTATTATCTAATAAGTGACTAATATTCAGTATTATCTCATTCCCTGTCACTGCATCATTGCTGACTCCTAGTGACCCTATAAGACAGGGTAGAAGGGCCCTTGCGAGTTTCCAAGATTGAAACTCTTTATAGAAGTAGATAGCCCGTCTTTATCCTGTGGAGCAGTTGCTGGTTTTGAACTGCTGGCCTTGTGCATCACAGTCAACTGCCTAACCACTATGCCACCAGGGCTCCTTGAGTATAATTATCTCAAAAGTCTAATTATTTAGTAAAACTGAAAACCAGATTAGGCTATAGAGCTATTTACTGGACCTATTGAGAATGCACTAATTTTTAAATTGCATATGACTATCCTTATAGTTTCTTAAATTTTTATGTCCCCAAACATTATACTGACATTTGATATTTGTCACATATTCATTTAGCAGTAACTCAAATATAAACCTCATTTTCTTTTTATTTTATACTTATAAATGAGCTAAATACTTTGTAGAACTACCCCTAGAGTTCTTATAGGATAAAGGAATGGGATACTTTCTATTATCCCTGTATTAGTCTGGGTTGACTAGAGAACTCATAAACACACATATGTGTATAAGAAAGAGTTTTATATACAGAGTAATTGTGTATTAAGAAAACACCCCAGCTCAGTCCAGATCAAGTCCATAAGTCAAATATTAGTCCATATATCTGACACCAATCTATAGATTCCTCTTCATACTCACACAAAACATGCAATGATGCTGAATGCAGGAAGATCACAGGCCAGTGAGTGAAAAGTCTTGTGGATCCAGTGGTGGTAGAAGCACTTCAGTGTTGGCAGGAGTCTCCATGTGGCTCCTCCAGCTCCAGGGCACTAGCAAAGTTCCATGTTTCTTGTCAGCAGGAATGTCTTACAGGGAGTGAGCCCATATCTGGCCTCCAGTGAGCTATTTAACTCCATTTGTGCCTCCCAAATGAGGTCATCAAGCTGCGACCTGATTGACAGGTTAGACTCCACCCCTTTGCAAGTTGACAGGAGATTATGTAACTGCCACAACCCCTAAATAAAAAACTGGTATAGCCCAAAAATCGGGGCACGGAGCAGCATGAAATAAAAAAAGGAGGCCTAGAAATGTAGTTAGACTTGTGTCCAGCTTCTGCAACTTACTAGCCCCAAAATCTTGGGAGAATCACTATGTCTCTTTGAGCTTGTTCTCCCATCTACAAAATAATAATAATAATAATAATACAACCTAACCTGACTCCCTCCTGAAGTACTGCACATAGTTAATATGCTCAACTGCTAACTGAAAGGTTGTGGGTTCCAGGGCACCCACAGGCACCTCAGAAGAAAGATCTGGAAATCTGCTATCATAAGCCAGTCACTGAAACCCCTATGGAGCACAGGCCGACTCTGACCCACATGAGGAGGCTAGGAGTCAGAACTGAATCAATGGCAACAGGTTTTGCCTTCCTGATGGAAATGTACATGGGATCAAAGATGGTAATGGATAGGAGGTCATTGGCAAATAGTTACCATGTTTCAAATGAAAGTTACTGATTATTTTTCCCCTTATCAATACCACTAGACTATGATTCCCCTCATTCTTCCTCTCCTCCTGAGGCTCAATGCAGCATAAATTCAGCTTTCAATCAGTATTAGCTTTGAGGGTCTATTGTACTGGACAGACATAGGCAGACTCAAGCCGAATGGCCGAAGCACCTCTCAGAGGTGACTGCAACCAGACACTTCTCTTTGCTTTCCTATCTATTTTTCCTCCTTCTTTGGCTTTTGTTCCTCACACCTAGGCTGCAGAGAACTCTGTCCTTCCTCCCCCATCTCTTCAGCAAAACCACCGGGTGAAGATGGCGTGGCAAGGCCAGGGGCAGCCAGGTTCTTTTCCCCTCTCACCTAGCCCTCATTCTGTCCCAGGGCCCTTCTTGCCTCCTATCCATTCTTCCCCCATTAAACTGAGTGACTGACTTTGGAGAGTGGCTCTCCTGTTCTTACATTGCTGCTATTTACAAGCTCAGATACTTGTTTTTTGTCTTTGTATCTTGCTTTTCTGTATGCTGCACTCTCTCACTTGAAGGCCGTGCTCCTCCATGGCCTTCTGCACCTCTTGTGTGCAGAAAGCAGAGCTTGGAGCTGTGAAGATTTAGTGGAATTCTCAGGTCTTTCCTGAGCCAATGACATCAGTGGAGCTGCTGTGAGAATAATAAATGGGAAGCATCTACCACAGGTAGATGCTACTAGTAGCATGAAGTAGGAACCTACTTCATGGGTGATGCTCAATAAATGGTCCTCTTACTGTTAGGGTCATTCTTTAAAAACAACAACAAAACCCCGTTCTATTGGCATATCATCCACATATACAATTCAATAGTTCAATCACATCAAGAAGGTTGTTCAGTCCGCATCACCATCAGTTCTAGAACATTTTCTTCATCCTGTACTTATTGTTATTAGCTCCCCATCTCCCCAAGAGGAAGTTAGGGAGAAATGTCGCTGAACATACATTTTCACTTTGTGAAAATTCTGCTACAGTTAGCAAACATGTGAGTTGAAGCCTCCGAGGTATAATCCTGGTTTCTATGTCAACTGGTTGGGCATCCTTTGTTGCTGTGTACTGTCAAGTTGATTCTGACTCTTAAAAACCCTAGTGGGCAGACTAGGGCTGCCATTTAGAGTTTACTAGACCGGTGCCTGCAACACTGGGCCCAAACATACGGATGGTGCAGGACTGGGCAGAGTTTCATTAATTGTACATAGGGTCTCCAAGTCAGGATTGATTTAACAACACCTAACAATGACAAAAGCAACAACCTTAATAAGATTGCCAGGTCTTTTTTTTCCCCGTAAAGCAGATGGAGGATTTGAACTATGAACCTTTAAGTTAGTAACCTAACAATCTTTGTACCACCAGGGCTCCTTCAGGTGTCCCTTTTAACTAATTACATTAAGCTGATTTCAATCCATAAAAATAGAGTAGAACTAGACCATTGGTTTCACAAGGCTGTAAAGCTTCACAAAAACAGACAGCTACATCTTTCTCCCTCAAAACAACTCATTGATTTGAACTAATGACTTTTTAATGAGCAGCTAAGTGCTTTAACCAACATTCAACCAGGGCTCCTTCAGGTATAATAATATCACTGTAGACACTACACTGTGATCTGCTTGATAATTGCCCATGACTTTCCTGATTCCAAACAATCTCACCCTGATCACCACAGTTATGCTCGAGCACAATTTTACTCAATAACTTGTCAGTGCTACCCTTTAGCTAGCATTCAGACCTTCTTCCATCTAAGTGCAATTTCTTGGGCACTGTAGTCTCTGGATGACTAGGCATAGGGAGATAGAGTGCATTGTGTAAAGTACTTGGCTATTAAGTCAATTATAATTAATCTGGTCTACTTTTCTGTTAATTACCATCAAGCTAATTTCCATGCGTGAAGAGTAGAAATTTTCCTAGGGGTTCAAGGCTATGATTATAGAGACAAATTTCCAGGCCGGTCTTTTGAAGTGTCTATGCTTCAGGCAAATCTGCTGCAAAAACGAGTTCTTTAAAGAGTTGAAGAACAGGACTATACTTTGAATACTAAGACACTCCTGACCCAAGAAAATGGTATTTTCATTCACCTCATATGCGTTTGAAAGTTACATAATGAATAAAAACCAAAGAAGAATTTTGTTGGTGAAGAATATTGAAAATACCATGAACCACAAGAGGAACAAACAGATTAGTCTTGGAAGAAGAAGAAACAGAATGCTGATTAGAGGTGAGAATGAGGAGGCTTCTTCTTACAGATTTTGGATATGTTTTCAGGAGAAATCTGACCCTGGGAAAGACATAATGCTTGGTAAGGGAGAGGGGCAGAGGAAAAGAGGGAGACTGTCAAGGAGATACATTGATATAGTAACTGCAATAATGGGTGCAAACATAACAGTATTATGTAGGGATGGCACAGAACTGGGCAGTGTGTAATTCTGCTGTGCATGAAGTCATTATGAGTTGGTAACTCAATGGCACCTAACAACAATAACAACAACAACAACAACAACATGAGGGCGGATTTGAGTAGTAAACTTTTCTGCTTGTAGTTAGGACTCAACTGTTTGCCCCTTCTAGGGACCATTCGATACATAATCTTACATACCTGACAGGCCCTCCCTTTTTTGTTTATAAAGTGAAAATAAACATTCATTACTGTAGAGCTATTGTGTAGACTAAATGTGATAATATAATTTTCTTATGTACTTTAAGCAAAGCAGGTATGGGGTAAATGCAAATAAGTATTATCATTCAGTTATTAGGGAGGTTATTATTTTATGGGGGTTATAACCAGTTATAATTTAGGTAGTTCCCAGATTACTAACAAATTCCCTTCCTTGTATACTTGTATTTACATAGAATTTGTCCCTAATTCAGAACAGTTAGATATGGCTCATATACCTTATGTCAGTTAGTCAAATGTTTGTCTTAGTTCATAGTAGAAACACTTGACTGTTGGTATGTTGCACTGTGCTGGCTTGTGTGTTCCTGAGACCTATGTCACTAGTATTTCAAATGTCAGTAGAGTCACCCACAGTGATACGCCTCAGCAGAGCTTCCAGACTAAGAACAGACTACAAAGAGGGAATTGGTTGTCTACATCTGAAGAACTGTCCACTGAAACATGGATGCATTGTATTGAAACATTGTCAGATACTGACGGCCTAAGGAATGGAAGCAGAGCATTATCAGAGATAGTGCTGGAGGATGGGGCCCTCGGGTTGGAAGGCACTTGAAATGTGACTGAGGTGGAGCTGATTGCTCAGTGGTCAGCCGGCCATGGTGGTGTGAGTTGGGACAAGCCTGTGGAAGTGGATGCTCTGGACTCTTTATTTGCTGAGGGGGCATGACTCAAGGAAAGGAGAAACCACTGAAAAAATCTGCTAATGATCAGAACTTGGAATGTGAAAAGTATGAAAAATTGGACGCTAGAAAAATTAGAAGTCGTCAAAAATGGAATGGAACACATAAAGATCAATACTGTTGGCATTAGTGAGGTGAAATGGACTGGTGTTGGTTATTTTGAATCACAAAATCATCTGGTTTACTATGCTGGGAATAACACAATCAAGAGGAATGATGTGGCATTCATTGTCAAAAAGGACATTGGAAAATCAATTATAGAAATACAATTCTGTCTGTAATAAGATTATATCTATCCACATTCAAGGAAATCCAATTAATACAACTACTATTCAAAGTTATGCACCAAGTATGAAAGATAGTGGTGAAGAAATTGAAGAATTCTATCGACTTTTTCAGTCTAAAATTGATCAAACATATAACCAAGATGCATTTATAATTATTGAATACCGAAATGCAAAAGTTGGAAACAAACGGGGAAGAATAGTGGTTGGAAAATATGGTGTTGGTAATAGAAATAAAGCTGGAGATCAAATGATAGAACTTTTCAAGATCAATGACTTGGTCATAGCCAATAGTTTTTTTCAACATCACAAATAGTGACTATACACATGAACTTTTCCTGATGGGATGACTACATATGACAAGCTCAATATCAGCAGATGAAACCAGGCCAGGGGTTGACTGTGGAACAGAGCATCAATTGCTCATATGTAGGTTCAGGTAGAAGCTGAAGAAATTTAAAACAAGTCCACTAGAGTCAAAATGTGGTGCTCAGTATTTCCCACCTCAATTTTGAAAACACCTCAGGAACAGATCTGCTGCCTTGAACACTAATGACCGAAGACCGGATGAGCTGTGGGGGGACATCAAGGCCATCGTTCACGAAGAAAGCAAAAGGTCATCAAACAGGCTAGAGAGAAAAATTAAAAAAGATTAACGTGGATGTCAGAAGAGACCAGGCAACTTGTTTTTAATTATAGAGTGGCTTAACTAAATAGAAAAAATAATGAAGTCAAAGAACAATAGGAAAATTTAGAGGGCAGCTTGAGAAGATAAAGTCAAATATTATAATGAACTGTGCAAGGCCTCGTGTTAGAAAAGCAAAAAAGAACACACTCAGCATATCTTAAACTGAATCAACTCAAGAAAATAATTCAACCCTCAAGTTGCACTATTGAAAGATTCTAAGGGAAAATACTGAATGATTTAGGAAACATCAAAAGACCATGGAAAGGATACACACAGTCACGGTACCAAAAATCACTAGTAGACATTCTACCATTTCAGGAAGTAGCACATGAGCAAGAACCAATGGTGCTGAAGGAAGAAGTTCAAGCGCACTGAAAGCATTAGCTAGAAACAAGGTTCCAGGAATTGATGGAATATTAATTGAAATGTCTCAACAAGCTGATGTTGAAAAGCAGGGAGGTTACTTTGAGGACTAAGGTGCACCTGACCCAAGCCATGGTATTTTCAATGATTCACATGCATGTAAGTGTTGGACATTGACTAAAAAAAAAATTGAAGAAGAATCGATGTGCTAGAATTATGGTGCTGGCAAACAGTATTTAAACTACCACAGACTGCCAAAGTCCAGTGTGAATGAAACCTCTTTCATAAAAATTCCTCTGCATACACAGATAGGATAGATACCGTTTCATTTGTCTTTGTTATAGCGATTTGTAAACATGTACTACCTTCTCTACTTGTAGGAAAAACCTTTAATGATAGGAAGGTTATCTTAGTCTCCTTTGGATCACCTGATATTTCCCAGCCCACCTGCTTTCCTACAGCCAGTGCTCAATAAATCCTGGTGGGTACATGAGTACATACTCGCGGTGCTTAGGTGACTTCTCCACCTGTGTTTTGCAGACTTTTCCCATTTCTCAGATTTGTAGGATGTGTTGTCTTATACACAGAATTGTACAGTTAGATGCACACTGCCTACTATGTATGACCACTTAAGGTTGGCAGATGAACGTATGTCAAAACTAAAGGGCAGGTGCTGCACAAGCCTATAAAAGAGCAGAAGAAACCAAGATACAAAACATGAGGGAATGAGGAAGAAAATGTTATTTTGGGGAACATAGGAAAATTCTCTTCTTGCTTTTTTTTGTCTTTTCTAGTCCTGATACTAATAGTGTGACAGCTCAGATATGGCTGGTATTCAAGTCTTCCAAATCAAGAAAGGAAAGTACAAGAAGAAGCATTGAAAGCATCTTACAACAGATGCTGAGGAACCAATCAGGATCTGTGACAACAGATCCCAATTCTCTTAGGCTAGTAGGTAAGCGTACACATGTTAGACGGGAGCGACGTGACTCTCATCCCTCAACATAGCACAAACGCCAGGCTCCAAATTGATCTTAGAAGCATAAATATCGCCAACAAATGAATCACTATTTTAGATAAGAGTAATTAGTTTTATTTGCCATTTTCAAAAACACATTCAGATCACAATACTATAATAATATAATATTATAAGATCATAATACTATACCTTCTTATTGGTTCTGTATAAAAAACAAAACAAACTCAAGCAAATCAAAGCTAAACTACATCTCAGTCTAAAGAGATATTAAGATTTAAACAGTTCTTATAAGCACTGCTGTCTTGTTATTCTTTTAATGAAACCAAACTCACTGCTATCAAGTTAATGTCAACTCCCAGAGACTCTACAGGCCAGGATCGAATTGTCCCTGTGAGTTTCTGAAGCTGGGGATCTTACAGGAGTAGAAAGCCATGTCTTTCTCCCGCGGAGCTGCCAGTGGTTTCCAATGGCTCATCCTGCACAAAGTCACCAGGGTTCCTGCTAGTCTTTTAATAATCTCTTAGAAGTTTCAGTAACAGCATTGGGTCTGCCATTATAATTAGGATGAAATTTTAAAGTAATTTTGTATGCTGGCAGGAATCAGAAATGCTTGTGAAGCCTTCTAGCTTTTCTATGGAAAGACACTGATGGTTTTTCATTTTACTAGATTATGAAGAAAAATATTTCTATAGGGGTTCCAGTTCAAACATACATAGGTTTATTTTGTGTCTAAACATGTCTCTGTGATCTCTAAATGGCTTCAGACAAGGTACACTGATAATATATTTGTCTGAGAGTGTCTTCAAAATAAAGGCATACGTTTTGCTTCTTGGAAAAAGCAAACAATCTTCAGGTCTGGGCTAATATAACCTTTTTAACAAAACTCAAGTGATATCATACATTTATTGACAATGGTCCCCTGTTTTATTTTATTTCAGAAACTAGTAAAGTCAATGCTGAAAAGATTATCAATAATCGTAAGTTTGGATGCTTTCTAATTAATTGTATGAGATGATTTAAAATGCATGGTAATCACCAAGACTTGTTATTCTTTGCTAGGCAAATCCAAAGTACTTTACACTAGATAATTCATTTTATCCACACAATACTCCTAGAGATAGGTACTATTATTATCATCATCTTTTTGAGAACCTAAAACACAAAGAAGTGAAATTCTTTATCCAGATTAATCTAGATCAGAAATGCTGGTGCTAGAATTTAAACTCAATGTGTCTCACCTCACTTTATCTGTCTTTAATAGCATAAGAATTCCCCAAGTGCCAAGGTGCCATGGAGATACTGGGCTGGGTAGCATTGGCCTAGGGCCTGCTAGGGCTTCCTGTGTAGAATATGTTCTATTCTTATCACTGTAAGGCATTGCTAGATTGAGCTAAAATAAAGGGGAACCTGAGCTCACCTTTTACTTTTTTTTAGCATTTATTAAAGATCATTTTATTGGGGGTTCTTACAGCTGTTGTAACAATCCATACATCAATTGTATCAAGCATATTTGTACATATGTTGCCATCATTATTTTCTAAACATTTATTTTCTATTTAAGCCCTTGGGACCAGCTCCTCTTTTTACCCTCCCTCCTCTCCTCCCATCCTCATGACCCCTTGATAAATTATAAATTGTTATTATTTTCAAATATTACACTGACCACTATCTCCCTTCCCCCATAAATTCTTTTGTTCCTCCCCCTAGGGGTGTGTGTGTGGTTATGTGTCCATCATTGTGGTCAGCCCCCCACCCTGTTATTAAATAGATGTTACCTTCCTCTTCTCCTTGGAATAAATCTGACTTTTCCATAGGCTGCGGGAGACGAGCAAGGATGTCGGCTACCTACGACCGAGTCAAGGGAGGCTCCAGCGCTCAGGAAGGAGAATGGCCCTGGCAAGCTAGCCTCAGAAAGAATGGCAGGCACTATTGCGGGGCCTCTCTGATCAGTGACAGATACTTAGTGACTGCAGCTCACTGCTTTAAAAAGTAAGTTCACTATCTTGCTACAGGTTGGAGTCAGTTCCAGTTGACACATGATTCTTAACTCTTATCACTCTACTCTTCAATTGTATACTGCAGACACTCCAAATTACTTGTCGGTGCTAGAATAGAGTATCTTATTTCATACTTCCAATTTCCCACACACACTGTCTCACCTATCTGGAATGCCCCCTCCTCATCTCTAAAGGAAATATGACTTCAAAAGATTTTTGTGTGAAATCTTCCATCGCTTTATCCACAGAGATTAGATTCCCTGTTTTATGGTGAAGCAAGCAATTATTCTAACTGCCTTAATCTATTCATTATGCTCCTTGAAGAAACAGACCATTTTAATGTTTGTGTCCACATGATCCCTTCTGAAGACCCCTGGTGGCACATTGGTTAAAGCACTTTGGTGTTAACCAAGGTTTGAACTCACCAACCCCTCTATGGGAGAAAGATGAGGCAGGCTGCTTCTCTAAAGATTTATAGCCTTGGAAACCTTATGAAGAAGTTCTATTCTATTGTACAGGGTCATCATGAATCAAAATAGACTCAGTGGCAAGGAGCTTGGCTTTGATTTACTGTCTCATATAGTGTATAGGCTCACATACGATTTTTTTTTTGAGTTTCTGAGATTGTAACTCTTTTTTTTTTTTTAAACATTTTATTAGGGGCTCATACAACTGTTATCGCAATCCATACACACATCAATTGTGTAAAGCGCATTTGTACATCACGATTTTAAAAATGAATTAAAAATAGATTTATAAATTCGACTAGACTGTAGAACAAATATATATTAATGGCACAAAAGAGTACAGTAGATGCAGAATATATTTATATCATTCTGACACAAGGAAAAAGGCCTTGACTTGTTGTTTTTGTTTTTCTAAGGTCCCAGAATCCAAATAACTATACAGTCAGCTTCGGCACAAGAGTAACACCACCCTACATGGAACATTATGTTAAAAAAATAATTATTCATGAAGCCTATAACCCAAAGGAGTATCATGATGACGTTGCCCTTGTACTGCTCACGGAAAACGTTTTATTTAATAATGATGTACACCGCGTTTGTCTCCCTGAAGCCTCCCAAATTTTCCCCCCAGGTGAAGGTGTTGTTGTGACAGGATGGGGAGCCTTGTTTCATGATGGTAAGTTTACCGACAGCCTACCATCCTCATGTGAGGTACAAAAGCAACAAGAAAAGTTAATGATGCAGGTACAGAGAGAACCAACTTTGTTCATCTCCAGGTGGTCTGAATAGGCTACTACAATGCAGTTCCCTCAGGGAATTGCTCATATGGAGTCATGACTTAACAAAGAACATGCCAAATGATCCCTTGGCAGAATTATTAAGCACTAGGCTGCTAACTGAATGGTTAGTAGTTTGAACCCACCAGCCAGCTGAGGGAGAAAGTCTACTTCAGTTAAGGGGTACAGCTTTGCTGAGTGAAACAAGGCAAGCACAAAAGGACAAATTGAGATCAATATTTTAAGAAGCCAAGAAATGGTTTCATATTAGAAGAAACATTTTTTAATAGTTGTTAGGGATGAGGTGGAGAAGTCACTAGAAGAGAGACAGGTGTTAACTTGAGTGAAGAAAAAGCAATATACAATGAAAGAGAGACCAGACCAAATGACAGGGGAAGGCAAGGGGAGGAGGGGAGGCGTCGAAGACAACAGAGAGAAATACTGTTATATACACCATCCTACCCTAGCGTTAAGAAACAAGTAGGTGCAGAGGTAGGTGTAGGCGGATGGTGTGGGAGGGATAGTGGGAATATACGCATGGATATAGGTGGATTTTACAGAGGAAACTTGTGCATGGGTATTTAACTTTGCTGCAAATATGTACATGAATATGGTGGCGCATACAGGGAGCAAAGTTATTAAAAATTCTTAGCCATAACCAAATACCTTGAGAGAATTAGGTGCTGAGCCTAATAACTTCTTAGACATAACCAAATACCTTGAGAGAATTAGGTGCTGAGCCTGGGGACTCAGGACTATAGTCTTAGGAGATGTCAAGGTCAATTGGCATAACATCATCCACAAAGCAACGCTCCGCATGCTTCCTTGGTGATCAGTGGATGAGGTCTTGAAAGCCAACTCTTGATCTTTCTCTACCTTGGGGAAAGAAGAGTGGTGAACATTAGATACACATACATGATGGGTCCGAAGGACTAATGGGTCACCAGTACAGCAATTTCTAGGACTCTGAGATCAGGAGAATTAGACAGTGCCTGGCTACCACTCCCAAATGTTCTGAGAGGGATCACTCATCACAAAAAAAGAACAGACTACTAGTCAGTGGTGGGAGCCCACCAGAGACTGTTGAAACCTCTGAGATTATGTTTTTTTTTAATTGTCCTTCATATCTGAAAATTAATTCATCTCCATGGGTCAAGTTTCACCCAAACAATAAGCAGGTCTATAAAGGGAACAATAACACTTGTTATATACACACACTTTAGACTAATCAATCATTTGAGCTCAAAAGGGCAATATTTAGCCAAGGGCAATCATTCAGATGGATTAAGAAAAAAGAGGTATGGGTTCAGGAAACACACATCAGAAGTGGAATAAATGATGTTACATTGTAGAGATTGATCTCAATGAACTCAGAGAATATGTGTATGAGTTGTTTAATAGAAACCTGATCGGTTCCATCTACCATCTTGGGAACTCTATGGAGCAATTCTACTTTGTTGTCACTATGAGGGTCACTATGGATTGGAATAGAGTTGATGGCCATAGATTTTTGTTTTGTTTTGTTTTGTTTTAGAATATTTCAAGGGAAACAGTTTGGTTCCAGAACTTCCCCAACCTTGAAAAAATAAACTGAGAAAGGTCTGGTCCAAAGAGCTAAGAAGGGACATAAGGATATAAGGAAGAAGAATAAGAAAGATGTATCAAATTATATTTTTAACATTTTCTGTTCATTGGTTTGAAGCAGGAAACTGAATGGGTTTTGTTTTGTTTGATTCTAAGAATAGGCAAGGGACAAGTATAGGCCCTAGGCACAGAGAATAAAGCACAGTCCCATACTGCTCTGTTCAGAACAACTCTTTTACTGATAATGCTTATTTTTTAGGGCAATACCCAGTGGTACTTCAGAAAGCACCCGTGAAGATTATTGATACAAATACTTGTAATTCTGTAGAAGCATATAATGGTTTGGTTTGGGACACAATGTTATGTGCTGGTTACATGGAAGGAAATATTGATGCCTGCCAGGTAAGTGTGGGCATTATGTGCAGTCACCACATGGTTTCTAAGTGGATTAGGTTGGGTTTGCCAGAGAAGCACAAGCAGTGAGGCTTGTATGTGTTATATGTAGAAAGAGATTTATATCAATAAATGGTTTACACAATTATACAAAGAGGTGAGTCCAGGCCAGTTCACATCAGGCATCCCCTGACTCACTGAAGGTGTTGAACGGGAAGCAGGATGATGAAGCAGAGACAACAGGAAGCACAGGTTGGGGGATGCAGAGGTCTGAAGTCAGCTGAATGAAGCCATCATCAATAATCTACTAATGGCTCCTGGGAATAGCAGATGATGCAGGGGGTATCAAGGAATCTCCAGCTCAGACACAAGATCCAGCTCTGGCAGAAGGTGAAGGACCAAAGAGGATTTGACTCTGCTCAGTCTCGCTTATCCAAAAAGGGTTATAACACCAAGGAGTTGTCATCAGGCTGCAATACAATTGCTAGGTTAAGCTCTGCTCCTAAACTTACAGGAGTGTCTAGTGCCATGATCCCTAACCATTGCAGGCCACCTTTCGTCAATTTGGCGCCTGTATTTAACTCTTTAATCATACATAATCGCCAAAGACAATAAAAAAATCATACTCACACCTAAAATGATGCAACTAGCATGCCTACAACCAAAAAGACAGTAACCACATTTTCATCTTATAGTTTAAGATGAAAAAATATTTGGTGCATATGAACAAGTAGGAATTATTCATAACAATTATAGGCAGCTGGTAATTAGGACCATATTCTTCCACTACCCATTCTATATTTCCTTTACCCTCAGCAAGTACCTTGCTTGGTCATGGTTCTTTGTCTGGTGGAGTGATCCAAACTCTCATTCATTAAAATTTTGAGATATTAGTAGTCATGTCAGAATTATGGTGTTATATTTTACGACTTTACCAAAGTAGTACTAAGAGAAGACCTAAAATCTCTTGGATTCTAGACATAGTCTTCTTTACCTCCGTTATGTAAAAACAATCCAATTTCCCCAGGGTAATAAGGATCAATCCCACCACTCAATGCAATAACACCCTACTTTACCTGTTGATCCAGAGGCATGAAGAAGCCAAAATGGTTAGGGGACACTCTTTTTTGGGGGGGGTTAGGGGGATACTCTTAACTGCCGACACTCTTAACTGCCAGTTTAATTGAATCCATGCTGTGTTTCCAGGTGGGAGCATTACTCCTTTTGGAACTAGAACTTCCAGATCTGGATTACCAGGTCAGGAAGCAAAAATGTCCAAGGGATCACTAGGAGTAGTAATAATTAGTGTCACTCTTAGTTCCACCCCCTTGGTTCCTGGACCTGTGAATTCTGGCTATTGGTGACACCGCACATATATTGGCTGCTGGTATAGAGCATATACAGTCTCCTGAAGGCCATTGCTCCCTATCTGGTGCCATAATTGTTTCTTTAGAAGTCCACTCCATTATTCTCTCACACTGGTTGCTTCAGAGTGATGAGGAACATCTGTGCATGGGTCCATTGGTACAAATCACTTGCTGTGAAGTGAGTTCCTGATCTGAAGTATTGTGTGGGACATCATGCCAGTGGATAAGGCATTCTATAAGTCCGAGAATGGTAGTTTTGGCAGAAGCAGTGAGTGCAGGGAAGGGAAATCCATATTCAGTGTGTCTGCTCCTGTAAGAACAAAATGCTACCCTTTCCATGATGGAAGTGGTTTTATGTAATCAACCTGTCACCAGGTTGTTTGTTAATTGCCATAAGGAAGGATCCCATATCCTGGACTCAGAGTTTTGGTCTCAGCTGCTGGCAGATGGGGCACTCAGCAGTGGCAGTAGAGAAAAGTCCATGTTGCTGAGCCCATGCATAACCTCCATCATTGCTACCATGTCCACTTTGAACATGTATTCATGTTCATGCATCGGGTAATAACAGGTGTAGCTGGGGGAAGGGAATGATGAGTTCATACAGAATGTATTATCCTATTCACTTGATTGTTCAAATTCTCCTCTTCAGAGGTTCACTCTTTGGTGAGCATTCATATGAGACAAAATATCTTCACTTTTTTTGCCCATCCAGAGAGGTCTATCCACATACCTCTTCCCCACAACTCTTTGTCACCAGTTTTCCAGAAGTGCTCCTGCCAAGTCCCTGACCATTCAGCCAAATGACTGGCCATAGCCCATGAATTAATATATAGTTGCACATTTGGTCATTTCTCCTTCCAGACAAACTGCACAACCAGAAGATCTGCTCAAAGTTCTGCCCATTGGAAGCATTTCCTTTCATCATTGTCCTTCAGGGAGGGCCCATACAGGGGCTGTAGTGCTGCTGTCATCCACTTTAGAGTGGTACCTGCATATTGTGCAGAATCATCAATAAACCAAGCAGGAGTTTTCTGTTCCTCAGTTAACTGATCGCAAGGAATTCCCCATGAGACCATAGATGCAAACCTGGAGAAGAAAGTATTGTGAAAGGAGTGGAGACCACAGGCATTTGGGACAGACACTTCATGCATCTTACTTGCACCTTCAGGTTCCATTCTAGCCTAATCTCGTATACACCACTTGCATTTAATGATAGAGTGCTACCGTGCATGCCCAATTTTATGGCTATGTGGGTCAGACAACACCCAGTTCACGATGGGCAACTCAGGCCCATGGTGACTTGGTGCTCAATTATGAGGCATTCAGTCTCCACTAAGGCCCATTAACAGGTCAAAAGCTGTTTTTCAATAGAGGCCAAGTTGTCTGCAGAGGACTGTAGAGCTTTGCTCCAAAATCCTGAGGGTTTTTGTTGTGATTCTCCAATAGGGGCTTGCTAAAGCCTCTACACGCATCTCTATCTGCCACTAATGTCTCAAGCACCATTGGATCAGCTGGATCATATGGCCCAAGTAGCAAAGTGACTTGCATGGTAGCATGCATTTGTTGAAGAGTTTTCTCTTGTTTTGGCGCTGAGTCAAAGCTGACAGCATTTTCAGTCACTTGATATGTAGGGCAGAGCATCACACCCAAATGAGGGATATTTTGTCTCCAAAATCCAAGAAACTCACCAGGCATTGCGCCTCCTTTATAGCTATGTGAGAAGCAAGATGCAATAACTTATCTTTCACTTTAATAGGGATATCACGACATGCTGGTATGGTTCTTCCATATGGGTTTTGTTGCTTTCCTGCTAGATTGTTGCTTGTTTAACTACAAGCCTCTAAGACCTCAGATGTTAGATCTTTTGATAGCCGGGCACCATCAGCTTCCTTTACCACATTTGCTTATGTACCTACTTTGCCTTCAGTGATCATGTAGGGAAGTTGAGTATCATACAATGCCACATTATTAGATTGAGTCATTCTTGTACAGAGGGAACATTTAGTGGGTCATTTTAGTTAGAGGCCCAAAGTCCATCTGCTTCCTTGTTGCATTTGTATATATATATACACATATAAACACATACACATATTTTTATATCTATCTATCTATCTATCTATCTATATTTTTTTCCTTCTTTCTTCTTTTTTAAAGCAAACACCACTATTGTGTTTACTATGAACCAAGCATTATTCTAAACCCTTTAACATATTAATGAATTTAATCCTCACACAACCTTATGTTATGGGTACTATTATCATTTTATAGATGAGGGAACTGACACAGAGGTAGGTTAAGTAATTTACACAGAAGGATCCATAGTGGGATAGTGACTATGAGTTTGGTTGATAATAGCAAGGTCAGCAGATCAAATCCACCAGCCACTTTGCAGGAGAAAGATGATGTCTACTCTCATAAAGTTGTGCAGCCTCTGACACCCTATATAGGATTGCTATGAGTTGGATTAAATTAGATGACAGTGAATTTGGCTTTTTTTCTTTTTTGGTAAAATTGATGAAAAGAGTGAGGTAGGGATATATATATATATTTACATATATATCCCTGGTCTCAAGGAAGCATAAATCACAAACTGTCTGGACTTATCACTTGGTAGAAGTCTCTTACAGTAAATTCTCATAATGTTATATATATTTTTTTGTTTTACTCAGGGTGACTCTGGAGGACCGCTAGTTCATCCCAATTCCAGAAACATTTGGTACCTTGTTGGAATAGTGAGCTGGGGGACAGAATGTGGTAAAATCAGTAAACCAGGAGTCTATATGCGCGTGACCTCCTACCGAAACTGGATTGCCTCTAAGACAGGTCTTTAAGAAAAAGAACATCTTATATCAACTACTATGGGCTATTTTTACCTGAACCTTCTATGCCTATTAACATGCATTTTAAATGAGCGTGAACAAGATCTGCTTTAAAATATATATATATATATTTATTTCTTTGGGAGTATTTATCAACTTTTAACAGATCCTAAATTGCATCTCATTTTTAGTCCAGAAAATCAGAGAAAATATTCTTATCCAGGATAGAATATTGTCATATTGTTTGTTTTCTATTTTATTAACTCCTGCCACAGAATAAAGCTCCTGCTTTTAGTTATGCAGGCTTTCTGTTACTATGAAAGTCTGCCTATGGTAAGTTCTTCGATGTTACTCAGAGGGTCCTGAGCCAAATGCATTGTGAAGATTGATTGGTCAGAAATAGGCTGTATCTGCCTTCACATTATGGCTATAGCTCTGCTGGCCCCAGTTAGAGTACAGGTACTGAGTCATAATCTCTTATTTGTACTGAGGTTTTGAGTAGTTCTTACAATTATTTGTGAAAGAATTTCAACATCAGCAGACTTACGAAAAACCTATTTTAGACTTACAAAGATAACGTATAGTGTTTCCTCAGTGTTAATACAATTTTCTGTAAAAAGTCTTTATTTGTAGCATATATTAAAAAGAAGTAGCTATGAAAATAAAAGTACATAATGTATATGATTAAAATGAATTTAAATGCAAACTATGTTTTTCAATGTGAAATTTCTTTTTTCTTAAAGGTCTTTTGCAGTTAACCCTTATTTTTTTAATTCCCCAAACCATTTTATTGGGAGTTAGTACAGATATCATGTTATTCCATAGTTCAATCACATTGAGCAGTATTGTAGAATTGATACCACAATCCATTCAAAACACTCATCTCCTTCCTGAACTCCTTGACATCAGCTCCTTTTTACCTGCCCCCTAAGAGTACAACCGTATGCTGCCCCCAAACCTTCTGCTGAAGAAACCTTTCTTCCACTTGTCCCTATAGGTTCATCAGTCCTGGGTTTCATTAACTGATGAACAGAAAAACATATATCAAAAATTCAAGAGGATGACCCCCAATGATATAACTCATCCGAGATAAACCCCAATATGAACTATCAAAAACCAAAAAAATTACAGAAAATGTTAAAAACCAGATCAGGCCTAATGTGCTTCAGAGGGGTGGGGTGTGGGTGGGGGAGAGGTGTCAACTGACAAGGTTTTAACCATTCAAATCAGGTTTATCTTTTTGATCGTCTATGGGCATCTCTCCAATGCACTCTTTAGTAACCATTTTCCTCTTCTTCCTTTTTATGGATAGAGGTAAATCACCAGGGGGCTATTTCCTATGTAATCCTACAAATGTATCTTGGGCCTCCCCCGTCATCCATAGCCTTTTGCAAACCAGATGATCACAATTTCGGATAAGATACTATTCCCTCCTTTAAATTTGGATTATATGATTGACAATCCTTCGGTAACTGATGTTGGTGTGCTTCTTCCATGGCACTAGGTTGACATCTCACTTAGATTGCTGGATGTTTGGAAACAGGCCTTTAAGATCCCACCCACTATTTTATCTGATAGCTAGACCCCATCTAATTTCATCACCACATTTTGCTATAGCACCCATTTCTTTTGTGCTCCATTCCCGAGGGTAAGTAGCAGAGGACCCCCCCCCCCCGCATGCCCCACACCCCATTTTATTTCTCTCCCTCCCCTCCTCTCTTCTGTGAAAATGAAATTTGTTGTTTCCACTTGGTCTAGAGTTTGGAAATGGTCTCCAAGGTCGCTAAAAGTAATTTAAAAGCTGGAGGGAGATATTTGGGGAAGAGCCCCACAATGGAGATGGGGTGATGCAGATAATTAACTACTAGTCTACAACTGGTGCAGAACAATGATCAACAAGTGTAATCTGTACATTTTACCTTCCTCCCTCACCAATTTAAAGATGAATAGACATTGATTGTGATGACCCATCAACAGAAAGCCTTCCCCCACACTTACCTGGTTGACTCAGTCAAGTGCATTTCTCATTTGTGATGTCCCATGTCTCACCTAGTGCCCACTTAGACTTTCATCCAGGTCAAGTGTCTCTCTTCCCACTTCTTGACAGCCTGTGACTGTGTACTCTGTTTGACGAGGGACTTTACCATCCCTCTGCAAGTGGTGCCCAGGATAAATATATACCTGCCACACTTCAGATATGCCTTTGTCACCAAGGCTAAGGGCCAGAGGCAGAAGCCCCTAATACTCTTAGGGTGAAGCCTATGTAGCTGGCCTTGGTAATCTTCTTGGTAAGTTTCATCTTATCATTTTAAACAAGGTTCTCGCTTAAGAAATGTGGACGTATGGTGTCAGAGGATGCAGATTCAGGATCTGGTCCAGGTTTGTGGAGTGTCACAAAGGTTCTGTGCAGTCCAGGATGTGACTCTGTTCTCTTTGCAGTGACCACTGGATATCCTGAAATGGGACTTGTTAGCTTTACATTTTCAAGAGACAGTAGTTAAATGATTGCAATTTTTAATGTTCTCAAAATATATTAACTCCTCAACAGCAGAAATGTTTATCCATACTCACCAGTAATTTTACAAAGCATCTTCACAAGATCCCCTATAATGTATTTAAATATTATTTAAACTTCAGCTATATAGTTGGAGATATTAGAGGAAGTCTTTTATGAAATGAATTTCCTCCCAGAAAATATGGATTTTTGTCCTTTGTCTACTGATAATCATTTTCCATTTATTGAACCTTCTGGAATAAGCATTGCTAAACGATGAGAGTCATATTTGACCTTTAATGGCTATACAAGGGAGAAGGAGAATCCAAATCCTCACCAGTCTAAGGCCTATTGCCAGAGACGGGGATCAGACATCTCTCCACCCTTCATCCCTTTTTTACTCAATTCTGACACCAACCTTTCCTCCTATGACCTACTTTTCTGTTGAGTTACATAATTTATTACGATAGCCACACAGAACTCACCGACAATATTCATAATCATGGCAGTTTCTTGGGTACATTAACAGGTTTCCATATGTTAGGATCATAACAGGTTTCCATATGTTAGGATCATAAAAAATGAAGGAGATAGTCTTTGGTCCACAGCGGTGCCTTTCCTCATCCAGGATCCAAGTCTCTTTCAGATCCTTAGTGGCCTCTATCTCTATGGAGCAGGAAGCCCGCCGACTGCTCTTACTCACAGCCTCATAGTCCCCTTGCTTTGGCCTCTGATCTTGCCCTGACATGGTGTCTGCTGCCTCTACCATTTCATGCAGGAATTACTCATGTGTTCCACTCATAGGTCGTTCTTGATGATCCCAGGGATTCTCTCTGTTTTTGCTTCTGAGATAGCTCTCTTAGAGACAGGGGGATGCCAAATGAAAGAGATCAACGTTCTCTATTAGTGTCTCACATGTCCTATTTGCCTAGTCCCAACTAATCATTGGGTGGGAGCTATGGAGAGAGGGATAGAAAAGCCATATTCAGAAATTCCACTTCACGACAAGCAAAAGGTCATTAAAAAGACAGGAAATAAAAACAAGATCAAAGTGGATGCCAGAAAGGAGGCTGAAACTTGCTCTTAATGCACATGCTGATGGAGATCAAGGATTACAACTCAATGTAAAGAAGACCAAAAGCCTCACAATTAGACCAATAGGCAACGTCATGATAAATGGAGAAAAGCCAGAAATTGTCAAGGATTTTGTCTTGCTTTAATCCACAATCAATGCTCTTGGTATTAGCAGTCAATAGATCAAAAGACAAATTGCATTGGGTAAATCTGCTGCACAAGACCTCTTTAAAGTTTGGGAAAGTAAGGATGTTACTTTGCAGACCGAGGTGCGTCTGATCCAAGTCATGGTATTTTCATATGAAATTTGGACACTGAATAAAGAAGACTGAAGAAGAATCGATGTATGTATAGCAATTATGGTGTTAGTGGAGAACATTGAAAATACCACGAACTGCCAAAAGGACAAACAAATCATTCATGCATGAAGTGCAGCTAAAATGCTCCTTAGAGGCAAAGATGGCACGACTTGGTCTTCCATACTCTGGACATATTGTCAGGAGAGACCAGTGCCTGGAGAAGGCCATCATGTTTGGTAAAGCAGCGGGACAGCAAAAAGGAGGAAGGCCCTCAACAAGATGGATTGATACAGGGGCTGCAGCCATGACTTCAAATATAAGAACAATTGCGAGGATGGCGCGGGATCGGTTAGGTTTCTGGAGTGGGTTGTACCTCGGTTCTTTGCTTCGCACGCTGAAAGAACTCACGCTGAAGCACATTTTGTAATACGAGCTTTTATGAATGACAGGCCAAGTTTCAGGTTTTACAGTCTCAAAAAGGGTACACACTATTTCTGGGTAGTGTGTCAGGCCATGTGGAAGCTGTGCTGGGGTTTTCAACTGGGCACAGAACAACCATGTGGAAAAGAGCAGCCATACATGTGGAATTGGGGGTCCAAGAACCCTAGAGGCTAAGAGCATGTGGGCTCACAGATTAAGCGCTTGTGGACCAAGAGGCTGTGGGCCCCGAGTAGGCCCAGAGTGGGTACAGGGAAACTCTCACCCTCCACCTGCCACTGACCAGGAGCAGGGTAAGAGAGAAATTGCCTTTCCCACAAGCGCCTTTCAACACCTCTGGCTGGAAAAGCGTGATTGAACCTCCTCTATGGGGGCCCTTGTAAGCATGGAAGGGTCAACCCCCCGGTCCCTAAGCTAGCTACCTAGCAGATCTTTCAGCGTTGCATTCTGCTGTACCCAGGGTAGCTATGACTCAGAACCGACTTGATGCCACCTAACAATCACACAGCAATTAGGAGAGTATACAATCATATGCCTTGCAAATGCCTGACGTGTACAAATCCATCGTTATGAACCAACACCCTAAGGCCCCAAAAATAAAAAAACAAAAAGCAACCTCTACAAGCTTAAGCCCAGAAGAATGAGATCGAGCATGGTTAGCACAGATGTCTACTCAGCAATGGACCACAGTAGGAGGCTCTGGATAG